GGGTGTCACCCCTGAGGGGTTGTGTCCTTCTCCGCGCATCCAGGGAGGCCGCCACTGCTCATGGCGCCGAGATCCCGAGGGGAACCGACCGCGCCTCAGAGCTGGAGCCAGCCCTGCCCGCGGGCAGCGAAATGAATTACAAAACACGTAACAAAACAGTGTTTATTTCACAGCATCTTAATCTCACAGAAAATAAAACAATGGAACAGGCTACAACTCAGGCTTTTAAATAATGGAGTAAGACAAAACCATAACGTTATCGCATAGGAAATGTACAGCCTCTTCTCAAGAGAGGTCCCGCTGAGCCACCCCAGCAGCAGCGTTGCACGCTCCACAGCACGAAATCCCGTCCTCGGTGTAAACCAGCGCTTCCCTCCACAGCAAGAGGAGCTGAAATAGCCAAGGCGGCAAATCCATGGGTGATTTGGGGTCCCGCTGTCAGTTTATTAAGGGATAAACGCAATAATAGTCCTTTGCCACATGGTGGCAGCTTTTAGGTGAAAAGTGTTCGCACACAGGGCTCCAAGCTACGCTCCAGGAGCACAACCCAGCACGGACACACGCGTTGCCGTGTCTGTGCAGGCGGGCTGGGTCCGCACAGCACGCTGTGTGAGCTGCAGGCTACACCTCTCTGGACGGCATCGTCCCCAAACCATGCTTTACCACAGACACCACTGCAGCGTTTACTCCGCTGCAGAGGTTTTGGCCTCTGCTCCCGCTTCTGAGCTCACCAACACCCCATGTGCCCAAGCCAACGTCTCGAGTAACCTTTAGACAACATGAACCGTTCTGTAACTGAACGCTCCTTAACCTAATTTGTTCTTCTGGAAGAGAAAACAAAAGCTTGCCGGGTTATGATGTGAAACTGTAGGTTCTGCGAGTGTCACTGCAGCCCGAATGCCCACTGCAACTAGACAAACTTCCACCGAATAGAGCGGGTGGCAAACCAAAGCGCATTGTTTTCCTTACGTGGTGAGAAAGGAAAGTTAGTTTTGTTACAGAAAACTTTACACACTAAAGTTCCCAAAGAAAGGCATTTTCTGATTTCATTTATACCAAAGTGGTTTGCTAGTTCTGAAGATAATGTGCCAGATGTTTCTATGCTCAGTTCTACCTCTGTCCCCTCCCGTAATGACTTTAAGGAGTGATGGGCCAGTTTGTTGCCTTCACTGCCTGCTAATTTGAAGGCTAATTATATACTAGATGTTTAGTATGTCACTACTTATTGCATGCAAGGACAGTTATATTCAGTAGAAAGTTTAACTAGTAGGCAAGTTTTTAAACCTTTTGGAAGATAACTGGCAAGCTTATTGTCTAACTTAGTTACCATCTCGCTTACAGAGACCGGAAAGTCCTTTCTGTGTTAGAAGTCACAAGCATGTTAAATTGTACACAACAACTTGAAGCTACATACAGCTGAACACAGTTACAAAAGATTTGATAGTCACTATATATGAAAAATACATTTTGAGCCCTTCTTAAACAGGAAGAGGCTCCAGGAAAGTTTGATGCAATTCTAATGAAGCCAAATTAGCTTCAGACGAAACACAGCTGAAGAGCAAAGATTCAGCTTTGGTTTGGCTACAACCAACATTTAATGTAAGGACCAGGAATTTACATTACTGTACATATTAGATAGCAAGTCCCTTTCCTCAGTACAGGGTCTAGTATTTCATTTAGGAGTCCAACTTAAATTACACATTTCTCAGACGTAATAGCCAAGCATCAGTTTTGTTCCTTGCAAACAGCCGCAGTTATTTGTATGATAATATTGCTTTAGAAAATAAACCCAAGAGCCAGTATCACAGAGTGTTCCAAATAACAATCAAGAGTTCATTCCCAACCTGGATATTTAAAATAAACAAAGGAATAGCCAATGGTCAGAGAAGTTATTCAACCTCTGGGTAAGCATTAGAGTGCTGCTGGGCTGTTCAGATGTGCAACAAACGCCAGTTTTATGAGGACCATCACAGTGATGATGCTGGAAGAACAGAGTAAAAAGGTAGCATTTAAGTATTGAGCATGCTTTGTTTCATTGGCTTTGTTTGGCAGCAGTAGCTCTACTGACTCATTTGTTCAGAACACGTAAGACCATATATAATACAGTCATACTAAAAAGGTGCTTATTTCAGACCATGGAACACAAAACCTGTAAATGATACATTTCACAGCAAAACTGCTTTTAGTCAAGCACCCATCTTCTGCTAAAGGGTGAATTTGGATGGCAATGGCTTTGCTGCAGCAACCTTGTTCAACACGTGGTACTTCATGAGAGATTTTCAATCTTTCCTTTTTAAATAAAATGTATATTCTTAAGGTATTAATAGTCAACTAAAATGGAAGTAATTTCAGTCTTATTATTATAGATCTGTAGTATAGCAGAGAATAGATGCCCTGTCTATCATTAGTGCAGATATACTGGAGTTGTTTTCCTTCTATGCAAGGCCAATGCAGGTAAAGAATAAATGGCTATACAGATTCAGGATTCCCCACCAAATAAAATTACTAACTTAAAAAGCACTGGTACCAGACCAGCCAGTTTTAGGCACATCTTTAAAAAAATAAAGTATGCATTTCATTAATGTAAAAATGCAAGAAGATTCTTAGAAACATCTGAACTTTATGGTGCACTGGAATGGAAGTGATGCTTCCTTTAGTTTCAAGGAATATAATAAAGGCTTTAAACAAAAAGAAACAATACCATAGTATTCTTCATAGGGAAGAACAGTTTTAGTAAAACCAAAAAGATAAATAAGGAATAATAAGCAGCCATGACAGCTGACTGGTGAATATCTGTGCTTTAAACGTCCAAAAGAAAATAAAAGTTCATTAACTCTTCTCGTACCATCCCCCAGACTTGCCATACGTGGCCACAATGCACACCTCACAGTTCAGTGACACGCTGCAGGCTCCAAAACTGGCTGTAGCCAGGGCAGGATGCGCGCAGGGGCGTGGAAGGGCTGGTGGCAACTTCACCAGCAGCGTTCAGTGGTGCCATCCCCAGCGCCACTGGCTGTCAGCGGAACGTAGCTTTGGTTAAGACTGTTGTGTGAGCCGTCTGTAATGAGGTAAAACTTGGTTTTCAGGAAGATAGAGAGCCAGTTCCAAAGCTACAAGGACGGTGAATTCAAAACCAATGAGATCTCTTCTGTTGAATCTGAATCTCTCTTCTAGTTTCTATGATAGAAATAAAAAAAGGAGAGGGAGAAAGAATCAGTTAATCCACAAGACACTAATGTACTGTTTGATTAACAACATAAAACAGGAGTCAGCGATGCCTGGCCTGAGCTGTACTCTACAGAACCAAGAAGTGTTGCCAGGCATCAGGCAAGTAAACCAGCTTATCAGCTCAGCTGTGACACCCACATGACAGTCACTTATATTTGCCCAAGTAAGTGCAAAAATAACCTCACTGTAGGATCAGCAGGACATTAGACTGCAGCAGTCAGGTAGTTTTAATGAATCACAGAAATTAATCAAAGAAGAGTCCTAATGAGACATAAAACTGACTGAAAGAGCTGATCTTAAATTAAATGCAAGCATGCACTGCTGGAAATCCTGGCTTTGATCTTTGTCTTGTTCTAGGAACTAGAGAGAAGGTTTTGACAGCACCTGAAGCAAGTCTCAAAGTACTTACATCTATAAGGTGTTTAACTTCGTGTTTCCTGAGATCACTGCTGATCTTGGCTGCAAGCAGAACGCAAGCACCAGCACACAGTTTGCGGTTCTGTTTGTTGAGTTTGCCTTGGAGGACGAGCTTCTCAAAGTAAACATAAGCCATGGAGACAGTAACTGGCTCCAGATTGCACTCTTCACTCAGGTTCCGCATCTCTCTCTTTAAACTAGGAATAGGTAAAGAGACACTCTCTCAAACACAACAGCTTTTATGAAATGCTCTAGAAACGCTGCAGCTTGGGAACACAGAAGAGCACGTGGGCAAGTCTCCTATTTGTAAAACCATTATGAGTATAATCTTAGACTGGAGAGGTCCAGCTGGCAACAAGCTGGAGCTGATGCACAAACGTTTAACACGCTTGACTGTGGAAGAACAGTTCCTCGTATGCTCATAAACACTGGGGGCTTAGCTGCCTCACTGACACACAGGCTATTACTGCATGATTCCCTCTGGGCTCCCAAACTGGTTTGTGATTCATATCGTAAGCCTGAACAACCCTGGCTTACAGAATACCACATCAAAGTCGTGCAGATCACAGCAGTTGCTGCAGAGAGACCTGACTGCTACACACCTTATGAAGAATCAGGTCTGAGGGGGAAGGCAGGCTGGTTTACACACTTCCCACAACAGCTAGCCCTGTCCTTCAGCATTAAGGCAGACTTCAGAGTGGATGCTACGTCTCCTGGCTGCCATTCATGCTACCCCTGCAAGAAGATCTCTGTGCAGACACACTACTCAGCTACAAAGAGGAGTGTGCAGGACACTGGCAGAAAACACTCTGCCTGAGCAAGTCTTCCACTCGGAGCAGGGTTACACATAGCCCTGGTGATTCAGCAGCTGTGTTTAAGCTGGCTATTTCAGAGGCCGTGGCTACATTAACCAATGGGTAATACCAGCAAGATTACAGCTCTCTGAAGGCACAACAGTGCATCTCGCTGATGAACGGCCAGATGCATTTCCTGAAAGATGGGGAATTGAGTGCCATAGCTCTGCCTTCATAAAACGCTTTTTTTTTTTAACCAAGACTCCCCAAACCTAACACTCTTCATCCTAGAATCTTGTTAAGAGTCCACCACCAGCGAGCTTGTAACTGAAAGGTGAAACTAGCTGGAGGGTCCAGAAAGACAATCCAGTTAGAGTGGGGCTGCACTACAGCCACACAATCAGGGTACAAGGCTAATGTGTTTCAAGGCTAATGCTTCACTGTTAATTGGCAATTAGTGTTGTTATACGACAGTTGGTGAAATAAAACCCTTTCAGGTGGAACTATGAAAACCAACTGTTACCCTTTCACAGCATCCTTAACATTCCTGTACAGAGCTGTCATCCTACAGTCAGCTCAACTATCAACAAGAGATTAGTGTTTAATCATATATACTATTAATAGATCTAGTATTTGCTCCATCCAAGTGGAAGATAAAAGCAGCTTTGTACAGCGTAGATTATGTTCTCATTATTCAGTGCTCGTTTCTTACCTCCTAATTTTGCTCAGTGTCAGCTTGATATGAGGAAACTTCTCTCTAAAGGTTTCATTCATATCCTTTTTAAGGTCTGAGGGTTTCACATATTCTATGACTGTAGTCTGAAACACACGAGGCAAAATTTACCGTTTCTCTTGTGAACAGTACTGACCTCCAGACAAGTCTTCCAAAGATGCTAATGCAAAGGCAAGCCTAAGTTTTGTTATTCACAGTTTAACAGCTCTGTAATGCTGAATCTCAACTACAAAGTCTTACAAGAAACTAGCAAGCAAATGGTTACAGGAAGCAAATAATACCATGGAGATACGTGTCAGGTTGGTCCTCAACAAGCTGAGGGTACAGACCCAAATATTTGTATTTTTCCTAATCAATTCTCAAAAAGCCACAACTTTTTCTTCCTAGAGGAAGTTTTCTTCCTCAGGGAAGTTCCTTATAGGAGGATCTTCCAGGCAATCACTCCTCTGTTCAGGTATGCCAGTCACTCACCATGTAAGAGGCAAAGATGAGAACACGTTTATGTTTTCCACAGGGCCATTGAGGATCATCCAGAATATTTGGATCATACTCTGCGGCTTCCCCACCTTCACTTCCTGAGGGAATGAGGGAAGCACATTGGGTCACAGGATACAGAGCTTTAAATTCCTTCTTTCCTCTTTAAAAAAGTTTTCAAACAGCAAACATGAGGAGTTTTGGCAGATCCCACAGTACAGGCACTCTGCATGTCTGCATTTCATAAACGCACCAGTCGGGTATTAGAAAGATTAAAACCCACACAAGCTCTTTCTCCTGCATGTGCCTGATGCACCATTTTAGACTCAATGGAAACTAAGCTTGCAGTCCACAAACATGCACAGAAAACAACTGCTCAAGACTGAATTCCTGTGCCTACACGCTGATCTAACAGACAGCAGAGTTCTCAGGTTTGCTTTTTTACACAAGAGAAAGGGTCCTTGTCACAGACTCTTTGGCTTATGCATTGCTGCTGTGCTAGAAGGGAAGGAGGACCACCTGTACACCAGATGTTTCTTGTTGAGTAATGTAAAACTTCACACTTCCAAGGAAAACCTTTGTGCTCCTTGAAGTGCATAAACAGAACTTGGCCAGATATACGGAGGATGTAAGGAATGTGTGCAAGTCCCCTTCCTAAGGCTCATCATTTATACTTTGTTAGCAAGCCTTCTTTACTAGGCTGTGCTAAAACAGCCTCCATCCAGCACCAGCACCTCCTTCCTAATAAGGCACTTTACTCCTTGCAATTGTTTCAGACAAATACGCTCCTTTTCAGCTTTTCTGCTGTATGCAGAGTGATGACACAGCTGGTGGCTGGTCCTTACCAAGGTCTGTTCCTGCTGGTATTGTTTTTGCTGTCACAGGTTTGTATCTTGATCCAGGAAGACTCCGAGAAGCACCAGCTCGACACGAGGGAACAGCACCGTGGCTGTCGGCTTTGCGAACAACAAGGGCATTGGTCGGATACAGGAATTTTGCATAGGACACAACCTTAAAGAAGGAAAACTTGTAGCAGTTAAAGGGGAACATTTACTGAAAAGCTTTTTTCCAGAGATCTAGGATTTACACACTCTTGGGAACTCCAAGTTGGAGTTTCATAGAGTAGGGAATTTGGGGATTAGAATAGATTCTATTAGAATATAGTATTTAGGAGTGGAGACCTTGAAATCATAGGACTGGAAAGGTTGGATGAGGAATGCCTTGCTTCCACAATGTCAGTATGAAAGTGATGTAGGAGATTCGCTGGGGTAGCAAAGAAAAGGGAAGAACCAGATCAGTAAAATTCTGGCAGTATATAAACTAAAGGGCTATAAATTTTGCCCATATGTCTGTCAAAACATCCCTCATATTGCCCAAGATACCAGAGTCCAACCAATTCTCCAGAAGCAGAGGCAGGAGTGATCACAGGCTTCAACAGCCTCTTCAGAAGCAGCATTATCACTGAAGCCAAGTATTTCAAACTAAGGATTTAAGCAAACTTCTGCTCTGAAAAGTCACAGCTCTCACTGTAGGGATAGCAAAGCACTGCACAGGTTAAGTGATTTGTCCCAGCATGGAACGATCCCGGGATGAGAGCAGCCAGCTCACCCACTCACTGTGCCCTGCTCTGGTCAGTGGTTTGGTCACTGGCAAATGACAAATGAAGGGTCAAGAGAACAAGAACATATTTCCTTACCTTGCCATCAGCACCCAGCTCGACTCCTTCCAGTCCAAGCACCATCTCCGTGGAGACTGAAACTCCCCCAGAAGGATGTCGCTGCTTCTGTCCTTCCATTCTTAGATCACTAAATGCAGACAAGAACGTGTGCCATTACAACATGCACAAGCCCTGGGAAACGTTGGATCTGTTCACTACCTACAGCCAAATCCAGCTCTCAGTTCTCCTATGTGGGAACAGGGCAACCCCTCAATCCCGCCACCTCTAAAAACATTCATTTTTCACAACTCTCTTCAAAACACGAACATGTTCATTAACCAAAAAAACAAATTTCATCTCATTTTAACTCAAATCACACCAATATACTTAACAAAAGTAAACTTCCCCCCCAATATTACATTTTTGTGTAAGACCACACTGTTCCAAACACACTAATGCTCACTTAACAGCAAACATCATTTATATTCCTAGTTTTCCAGCTTCCAGAAAGGCAATTTTCCAACCACAATGCACACAAGCTCAAATTAAGAGTGAAGCAGAACTCTGCTTCAGCAATAGCAGCATGCAGCTTTGTCACCTATATTCCAATGCCGAAAAGCGTCTTTCAGTTGAAGAACTGCATTGCCAGCTTACAAGCAGAATGACAGTGCTCAGAACTGCTCTAAACCAACTCCAGTGACCTCCCTGCTTTTCTATTAAGCAAGAAAGTATTTTCCCATCAACTATTTTTGTGGCAAGTGCATTTGCATACAATGCAATTCCCACCACTAAACATCCGTTTCCTTCGTCCATAAGTCATGTACAGGACAGGAGTGACAATACAATTGTTTTGCCAGAAGTGGATTTGAATAAAATTAGTATTTTCAATGGTCTATTTGTGGATCACAGACCTTCAGAGACTCAGACTTCACAAGGGACTGAGCAAGGCTGCAGGGAAGTCCAGTTAGCAGCTCTGGTTTCTCATAAGTGATCATATTGACAGTTCTATGTAGTACAAACACCAGAAGCAGTTTCAGTCTAAACTGTTTCTGGTTTTCTTAGATTGCAAATAGTGACATTCATGGCTTAGAGCTGAAAAACAGAATAGCATCTCAAACTTACTTAGATGTAACTCCACTATAAAACCATGGAAGTTTCCAGTAAAGGCAGCAGCATCCTTCCCTAATGCTCCATATACTTTGTAGCTGACACTGTTGTTTGTTGCACTAAAGACAGCTGATTTCTGACCCTTTTAGGAGTACAGCAACAAATCACATCATCTGTTCAAAGTGGCTTTCAGGGATTTCACAGGACTGGAGTGCTTTAAATCGTGAATAAACACCTGAAGTCTACCTTTCCCACTATTTTCCTCTTGGAGTTTGAATGAACACTTTTAATGCCGTGGCAATGTCTGATTTTACTGCTCCGATAGCAAGCTTTTGTCCTTATGCATAAATGGTAAGTTAAGTAAATTCACCTGCTTTTAAACAGGAGCCCTGCACCAGACATACTCATCTAAAAAGATCTTTTGCAAACCACAGACCAGCCATTTCACACAGCAGTTAAAGACAACTCACCTGATCCGTAAACTCTCCCCGTAAGGTAGGATAGAAAAAGCCACACACAGTGTTCGTTTAGCACAGATTAACACTATCCTGCAAGCAGATGGGAAAAAATAATCAGGATATGAATGGAGATGCACAAAAAGCAGCTTTTTATGGAACATGAACAGGAGACTCTCATATCACTTTGCAAGTCACAGACACTGGTATGGATTTGATGTGTTCAGAAAGTAGCACAAGAGCAGAGGTTTTGTTCTGACCCTGTAAGTGCTTAGAGCCAAGCTCTGTATCAAAACCCAGCATTCAGTAACTGCCGTCACCTTGGGAGCTCCTCACAGGAGACCCTGATCTTTAAATATACATCTGTATTTTTGTAATTTTTACATAAGCCTTATGAAAAGATGTAGATAATATTTTACATTTAGATGAAGCCTCACACCTCTATTAATAAATATGAATGCAGCCTCCCCTTTCTCTTCTGCCCAGCAACTGAGACAAGAATTTGGCTAAACCAAGCCATTCTCCTTGAATCCTCCTTAGCATTAACCTCTTTGTGTGCAAGAGATAAGGAAGGTGTTAGAAGAGAATGATTTAACCTCCTCAAAGTAGGATGGCAGAACCATTTTAACATTGCTGCAGACGTAGCAGGTATGAGCACCTACTGCCTTTGCCAGAAGTATAAAACTAACAAGGACATCACCTTATTCCCACTGATATTAAAGGCTAATTACATGGAACTAGAGTCTACTGAGCACATCCTATTTCACTCAAGTAGAGAAGGCACATTGAGCTCCAGAAGTTACCTGCTGTTCTTGGTGTCATACTGTCTCATGTTCTTGATGAAGTGCATCTTCTTCAAACTTTTGTGTCTTGGAGACCCAGATATATGCTTGTTCCTGCAGTTATAAACAACAAAAAGCCAAGACCTTGGTCAGTGCTCTGACAAAGAAGTCATGCTGGTTGTATGATCAGATGGCGGCACGTGCATGCAGGACCTCAGATATTGGCGTGGAAGAGGGTGGAGGGAGGAGAGGACTGCATGCAACGAGTTGAGATTAATTCTGCTTTTGAAACAAGTACCTTCGTACACTGGCATATTCCACTATGTCTTCTAAAAAGTCTAGAGAGCAGCGCTGGGAGATAAAACGCCTTCTGTAAAATGTACAACACCACGAAGAGTGAACAGTATTAGTTCATGGCCTTGGAGTTTATGAACTGCAACAGATCTATGAGCTCTTAGGACACATGGCAGGTTCTTTGGGTTCTTTTTTTGTTGTTGGAAGAGTGCTTAACTAAGAGTTGGAAGTTCCTAAAAAGGCCAAGAACTTGTCTCCCCCTCTAGGACCCTGGAAATACATATTTATACCAACTTCATTATCAAGAGCACTACCTTCAACACATAACACCACCTACCTAGAAATTAAGCACCTAAAAAGCTTCCAAATCCTCATTTAAAAATCTTGGAAGAAATATCACAAAGAGCTCCTCCCCATCAAGGCAAGGGAGCAAATCATTTATGTCAATCTATGGGCAGATGCAGGTACATCTGTACGATGACTGAACCTGTGTGTACTCTCTGTTCAGAACACAGCTATCTCCAGCTGCAGGAGTCAGCAGACAGAGTCTATGGCTGTAGCTCAATAAAACTGACAGATCTCTCCAGAAAACAATAGAGAGGGTTATTAGAGGAAGCAAAAAGTACTCAGTACTCATCTGAAATCCCAGAATGGAAGACACAAGGAGTATAATAGTAGGAATCATGTGAGTTAGTGTGACAGTAATAAGATATTACAGATAAGCAAAAAAAAGACTTTGCCAAAGTAAGATACATGACTATTGTCAAAGTCATTCTTCGTCGGGAGAGATTTACAAATGAATTGTGAAACTACAACTGCAATTTCCAGAGGAACAATGCACTCACATTCATCTACGACCAGAACAACACTGACACCACAGCTATCAGATTCCGTGTTTTCTACTTTTATTTAAGCATCTTGTGCTACAGCTTTAGCACAAGCCACGTGCATTCAAGTCTAAGGTTTTCTTCCAAAGCGACATAATAACTTATGGACAATGCTGCCATGGAAATGAATGCAGAAGCAGCATAGAAGGCAAAAATTGTATGAATCTGGCTCGATAAGACCTGCTTTTGATAAAAATCCAACTTCAAACTGTATTAGAGCTCTGGTACCACCCAGACAGACCAAGACCAGGCCCAGAAGTTAGCATCCAGCACCAAAGCAAAAGCATGGCACCTTGGGTGGGAGCAAGGAGCAGCCAGGAGAGAGGTCAAGAAAAATGAGACTTATATATTGTTAACAGGAATTGAAGGGTTCTCACACAGCAAAGCCATTTGTAGCCTCAGCTGATTCAAGCTAAAGATCCAAAAAACCTACTTGGGATTAAGTCTGGTCTTGAAGCCCAGCACTTCATTTTGAAACAGCCAGACAACGTGCTATTCCCAGTGACTCTGCCTTTCCTCCTCTCCGGCCTCAGCTGGGTAAGAAACCAAACCACACAGTTTCGTTGCTACAGAAGAGATAAACCAGAGTTCTGGACATGAACAAAATCCATCTGCTTTTTCTTGAGCATGGTGTCCAGAAATGCAGCACTTCAGGAAAGATGGTGTTGTGGTGTTCTTCCTTATACACAGACATAAGTATTACCTAAAACTGCTGATCTGCAGGCAAGCCTCTGCAACAAGGTCCCTGAAGTTATTCCTGTGGTTGTACATACCAAGGGTTATCTAGAGGTTTTGCAAAGTGACACTTTAATCTGAGTATCCCTGAAAACAGGTTAGTTCCTCATTGCAAGTTCCTTAGAAAAAAAATTCACCCTTTTCTCTGTATTCTCAAGTATGAGGAGCATGAACACCAATCTAATGAACATTTTTCTTTTTCCCCAAAGTCTGCGTATAGTGTCTCCTTATTAAAATGTAACTAGTGCCCTTTCTCTGTGGATTTGTAATAAATTAAACTCCCATATAAAACCTTTATTTTTATCCCTAGAAGGAAACTGTTCTCAGATTCTCAGCAGTGCTGTTCAGCTATTCTTAAAAGAAAAATAAGACCACAACTCAAACAGGTTGGAACTAAATGATCTTTAAAAGTCCCTTCCAGCCTAAACCATTCTGTGATTCTATGTTTCTATGAAAAACTAGTGTCCCTTTCTGTGAACACAGGAGAGGTAAATCCTCCCACAGGACTACCACATTCAGCACTGCTATAGACTGCCTCCTACATATTCACAGCTATTCAGGTCCTACTGAAGAACATTCCTGGCACAGCTTCAGTGCCCTTCACCAGCACTTCAGCTTCAAAGTTATGACTATTTTTTGCTTTTCAATGAGAATTGCCCAGGAACATTTAATGCCTTCACATACACATGGCTCTCCAGTCTACTTTGGCACCTGACCTGCGATAAAAGCAGTCTTCATGCAATGTGGAGGCTGATGTCAAACCTCCTGGCAGGAATG